CACCCTCCCCTTCCCCTTTCTCTCTCTCTCTCTCTCTAACGCTCACGAAACGAAGCCAAGACTCTTCATCTAGTAGGAGGCAGAAGGCTTTGAAGAGATCAAAGCCAAGGCCGCGAGCAGTTGTGCGCCCTGGGAATACGCCGCAGCTCTCTGCTCCACAGCCCCCTTTTTCCAGCGTCATGTCGGATTGCAGCTGGATTGCATTTCGCCAGTTTTCTTAATGCTCTCGGTTTTGACTTTGACATCACTGATCCCCCCCCCACCCCCCAACCAACACACACACACACCTTCAACACAAACGAGAGAGAAAGGAAGACAGTAAAAGACAAAAACAAGAGAGCGAAGGAGAGAGAAAAAAAAATCAAAGAGAGCAAAGTTAAAATGGAAAAAGCTGGAAAAGAAAGGAGTAAAATAGGAGAAGAGAGATTGACAGGGTGATTTTTATTTTCACAACTCCATAATTGGCCAGTTCAAAGGCGGATGAAAAAAGGAAGCATTTGTTTTTAATTCCGCGGCAGATATGAAAGGAGCGACAAACTTTTATGAGTTCCCCAAAAATTAAAGACAGGCTCTTTTCACATTCAAAGAACAGGGTGTTTTTTATGGCCGAGACCACACAAAACGAGCTGATAGCAAAGCCCACCCCTCCCATCCGCGGCAAACATGAGTTGACTGACTGACTGCGAGATGCCGAAAGAGAGGGTTTTAGTGCGCAACACAGAGAGAGGAAGTGAGTGCATGCGAGAAAGAGGAAAAAGAGGCTGTATCCATGCATCCATTAAACAGCCTTGCTAATAAAGCCTGGTTGCAAGCCATCTTTTGTACTGTAACTCAGAGAAACCCTTTACCAAACTCCTACACCAGGGAGCATGAATATTTCAGTGGCGTCTGATCCACGGAGCATGTGAAGCTCTTTTGCCCCCACATACACAAACAGCCTGACAAAAAAAATAAAAAATAATGAGCTTCAGAAAAAAATATGAAAAAAAAAACAAGTGGAACCTAGTGGCACAGAGCCTCTATTGATCAGTAAAAAAGCAGTGCAAATGAACTTCAGAGATGCGTGCATGCATGTCCGCAAACACAATGCGGTTTCAATCACTGTCACTGATGAATTTCTCTTGAGATGACGAAGGTTTGACGAGACGCTCGACTTGTGTTTCTACGTGCCAAAATTACCAGCGCTACTCAATTTTCAACAGTTATACAACTAACGTGATTTGATAGAAGAGGGTTACTGACACGCATCGAATGTCGATTCTCAAACAAACAATTGTAAAATGAGAAAAACATGGGGATTTTAAGTCATTCGAGACTAAACGAGCTTGGAGTGACATGAGAATACACAAAACGAAGCAACAACCATTCAATGAAAAGGAGTAAAAAAAAATGCAAAAGAAGAACAACTAATCTGGCACAAGAGCGTCAGCTGTATTGTCAAAATAAAGCAGGATTTAAAGAGGCCGCTGGAGGGTGATGGAGGTCACAGCCAGGCCTGGAGACATAACATACAGGAAAAGTGATGACAACTGTGATGCGAAGACAAAACACAACATTGCGCTTCATTTGCACGTGCCCTCAGGATCCTCTCAACAGGTGCTACCGCTGGCTTGCAGAATAGCACAAATAACACTCGTGTGTTCAAGCTTGTTCAACGCCAGCTCAAAAATGATCACCTTTAAGATATAAACTTGGCATTGAATATTACCAAAATTGTTGATGAATTTCACATTCGTTAAGTAGATGGTTTAATACAAAGCGAATTACTCAACCATGTTTGTAATACTATATATATATATATATATATATATATATGACAGCATTTCTCGAAAACACAAAAAAACTATTTTATTTAGGCGTTCTGGCCAGAATTTCAAAGTTATTATAGTCTCCTACTATGAAGACACTGCAGTGGGTCTCTTGACATTAATATTTTGGGGTTGGTAAAATGCCCCATGGAGGCAAACTTTTGAAAATTAACCTAATAACACTGCCAGCCTGTTTTGCTTTGTACATCCGACACATGGATTCAATATGGCTGTGGTAACCAGCCGATGTAAACAGAGTATCAATGGCCCTCTGTTTCAAAACCCTGGGTCTGTACCAATGCACTTCAAAGGGCCGTGGGTTGCTGAAATCTGCGAGGTCTAGGCCACGCTGGTGTTCAGACCTGCTCAGCAGATGATATGGCTACTAGTTTGCCCCTTATCACCCATGTGTGGGGGTGGTTCGCTTTGCTTGCCTTCATCAAAGGATGACAGGTTACGTGTTTAAAGTCTACGTGCTAAAAGCGTCAGGAAGCCATATGGGTGAGTTTAGAAGTTTAAAAATGTAGATTATGATGTAAATAATAATCCTGAAGAGCACGACAAATATGCTACATAAATAATGTTACAAAAACCACACACAATGGCTGCTGGGAACTGTAGTTTCTTCGAATGGTGCAGAAAGGAAAAGAGTGAGAGTAGATGATCCAGCTGTGTGAAATCTCTTTAGGCAAAGCCAGGGTTTGGGGGGGTTTGTGATTCCACGGCATGTCCACGCCAAGAGATCCGTCACATCCCACATCAAAGCAAGCCGAGTGCGAGTGTATATCTTGGGTCGGTTCTTCCCGTGCCTCACTGCCAGAGGCCAGTCAGGATGGGGGAGGTAAAAGGCACAACGACAGAAGCTGCTCCACCAGTAGCTCCAGCAAATGTACTACAGTAGCCATTCATACATATGGAGAGCAAGCTAACCATCAAAACTTAAGGTAGAATCATTTAAGCCTCAATGCAATCACTGTATGTCTATTTAAATAATAAATTAACCTAATTTGCATGCATTTAATGGTCTTTGTTCTAACTTCACATCTGCTCCACTCTGAGAGTTTTGCGCGCCAAACGTGAATATTTGTCACAGAAACAATATGCTATTTACAATGTTGCCCAATGACATAGTTTGTGTCAAATTATAGCAACTTCACAACCAAATATGCAAAAGCATTGAATCCGGAATCGCAGCTAACACAGAAAATGCGATGTACAAACCACTGTACAGGTGTAAATTTGGTTGAAATTCTTATACATGGAGAAATTTGATTTTCGTTTAACTAATATTGGCCAATTATTTGAGTAATCACTTTGATTGTTATAGTTTTGATACGTGAAAAAGCATTTGGATCAGCACATTCTGAAGAATTTCAGGACATTGAGATAAAGGCATTAACTAACTTATGGGTCAAACATGTAACATCTCAAACACTTCGTGAGATGAAACTTTGTGCTCGAACTTTAAATAATCCAATTTAAGATAAAGATGAAGAAAACGAAGAAAGGGGATGAAGAACAGATTAAACAATTCAATGAAATTCAGGACCCCATCGCCCCATTCTTCTCTCCAACTGATTAAAAGGGGCCCGAGATAAGCGGAACTACATGAAACGCGAGGGAAATCATTTCAAAAGGAGGAAATGCCTAGGTTGTCTTAATTCCCAATTCACCATTTCATACTAATTTTAAAATATTATAACTTCAAAGCAACAGGCACTAGAGACAATGCAGCCCAAGTGTTTACCTGGAAACATTATCTGTTGACCCCAAGTTAGTCATCTCAAAGGAACCCTGGATGCCATTTCCAGATGTCGTCTATCAGATTAGAGCAACATGTAAAGCTTTCATGGATAACTAAGCACCATGATGACAATTTCCACTACTGCTGGGGGGTTGGAGAACATTGCACTCGTACGGTTGGCGTTTCACCAGGTAGCAACAACACACACGGTCAAAAAAAAAAAAAAATGCTGACCAAGAGAATATTGTCTGTTTCATGACTGGGAGGGAGTTCAGGCACTGGAATGTCATAGCCAATGGAAATCAATCCAAACTTCAGGGGAATGAAGGGGGAGGGAGTTAAAAAAAAAAAAAAAAAAAGAGAAGAAGATGCCTTTGATCTCGCAGAAAACCGATCCCAGGCCTTGGAGATACTGTGTCCGAATATTTGAGCCACCGCAAAGGAGAGAAAGAGACAACAGACAGAGGAGTTTGAGGAAAAGGATCTGGCATGATTGCGGTTTTATTTGCACACCGAGTGAAAAAGAGAAATTCAGGTAAGTTGCAAATGGTCGCACATTCTGCAAAATCATTGTAAAAAGTATGAGCGGAAATAATCTGCTATTATTTGTGGATTTTTTATTGTACCTCCCAAGCAAAGGCCTTAAACCACAAAGGATGTTCCAGTGACTACCTTGCTGACCCAAAGACATTTTTTGTAAATCAAATCTAAACCACATCTTATTGTGTAACAATGTGTCTGCTTAAGAAGAAAAAAACTGTTAACTAAGTCATAACCATTTATCCCAAAATGCTTCGATCAATTACAGGTCAACCTTCTGTTTGGAGTCCGTCACCACAGCGGTGAAACCGAGCAAAAACCGAACCATAATCGCACGGCCGCAGACTGATAAAGGAGCTGAATCCAGAGCTGTGCAAACAATGGATGAGATGAGCTCAGCGGAGAAAGCCCTCTCTCTCATCGGGCTCACAGACTGCCTGCAGCGGCCATCTCTTCCAGGCACCAGTACACTGCCAAACAGGGAGTCTTAACCACACAAAAACTACCAAACAGGATTAGGGTGGACAGCTGCTAGCGTATCCACCATCTTTTTCTTTTTTTTTTAAACCCCCTCCTTCCATCAGCGGTTGTTTTATAGAATAATCGAGAGGGTAAACATCTGTAAGTTCTATACATTTATCCATTAGAGTGCACGTCTCTTCAAAACAATCATACAAATATGGAAAAAAAAATAAATAAATCTGCCACGCTGACAAGTATAGACAGAACGAGAAGATATGGATATGGGTCATAGCATTAGTCACAGACACGCCGCCAAGCAGCGACTAACGTCATAACCCAAAGCTGCACGCTACAATGAGGAAAGATTAAAAAAAAAAAAAAGTTATGAAAAATGTCACCGGTGGACGGAGAGGGATCGGGAGTGAACGGCTCGGGAAAACACTCACCGTTCTGGGCATGGGAGGCGAGAGAGAACCGTTGTTCATGTAGGAATCATTGTTCATATTGGTCATCATGATGTATCCTGGGTAACTGGGGTATGGGTGGCCTTTGCTGTACATGTCCTGGTGCTTTCCTGTGAGAGAATAAAATTCAACCTGAGTTAATAAGCAAGATTTACATTTATTTTAACAAATACTTGATGTGATCCAGTCAAAAAATAAAAGTAAAACTTTCAGTGCCAATTCACAACGAATCAAAAATGAACGTTAAAAACGCACGGAATCCAAGCTAAACAGGAAACCAAGAAGGTATCTAAAACGGGGAAGCCGTTTTGAGGACACTGAAGTGTTTAGCTGAAAATTACCATCTTAATTCACAGCAAGCAGAGAACAAAGGGCAAAAGACAATCAAGTCACTTCACTGTGACCCCAGCGCCCTGCTCGGCGTAAAAAAGACCCGGGTGCAAACAGAGATCAAATGAACTCCGGGCCATCACAGCAACATGCTGCTCTTGACAATAGAGTCTCAGACGGTGTGTTTGGAGGCCAGCGTGTCACAGGAAGATGGGGCACTTCCCTGGCACGTGTCATTACGTGTCGACAACAAACAGAGTGTGGGCTGTGAAATTCCCTTCACAAAGCCATCGAGATCAGTGAAGCGGATGAACCAATCAAAATAATTACCAGCTTGTTTATTATATATATATATATATATATATATATATATACACACACACATACATATATATATATATATATATATATTTGTGTGAGTGTATATTGCTTTCTTTGCAATAATAAAATTAAAATGCCATAATTTTGTAAAAGCATGCTTTGAGAATAAAAAAAAAGTACATCACAGAATCAAAGAATTAATAATAATACACCATGTTTTCACCCCAAGCCATAGGACTTACCATCATCCGGATGGTCCCTGTGCTTCTCATGGTAAGAGTCTGATGTTATTTGGGACTGTCTAGCTGCCTGTTCAAAAATGTGGGAGAGAGATATTAACAGCTTAAATTCTGATGTGCAACGTGTTTATATTTATCCAGGATTCCTGCTATCTGAAGAAAAACTGACAAAACAAGGCATGATTTGATCATATTTTTGACAGAAGGCATCCATAAGGAAAAGATAACTTGAGTTTTTTTTAGACATTGATTAAACTCAGTCATTTTCTCTCTGCTGTGGAGTCTGACCACAAATGTGGTCGGTATCTTAAGGAAGGAAAAAGAAAGGCTTCGCTACTATTCTCGTTCGCTCCGCAATATGAATCAGAAGTGCCGGGAAATAAACTCCATTTGGAGTTCAGCTCCCTCTGGGTGCCTTCCAGCAGAGCGAGGATCGGCACTGCTTTCCCAATTAACATTCAGCCCATCAGTTTGTTCTTTCTCGTGTCATGCTGTAACCCTGCATGCTGTTGATGCCAGGAGGAAATACATTTCATTAATAAAGCCATGCATCTGCTTATTCTTCAGTTCATTTTACTTGAATCACATGACCAAGTAGTAATGGGAATCTTTCTTTTTTTAAGCATAGAAACACAAAAATAAACTCAAACGAGATTACACCAGCACACTCATCGGACAACTGTCTCATAAAATTCATTTTTGTTTCATTCGGATAATTGTTTACTCTTTTCTTTGTGTGAAATTGTAGTATGTAATTTGTAAAAGGGCAGGCAAATTTATTTGTCGCCATCCTAAATGGGGTGTGTTGATTTTTAATACATATTAAACATGTTAATTAAAATAAGCATATTGCAGAATTTTTAAAATAATATCACAATAAACCAATCAGAGGAATAATGATATGTTTCAGAAATACTAAAATATGTGCATATTGCACCATGTTATCTGGCACACTTTCCTGGATAATTATTATTAATCAGAAAATATTGCAATAATAATAACGACAGCAACAACAATGCTTACCATTGTAGCACTATCATATTTACAATATTGTTTAATAACTGTTAAACATTAATTGTTGAATAAACTGAATGAGTATATTTTAGGAGGCTACAATTTCAAATAAATTTATTGAATAGCGACTATATTGTGATTAGCAAAGGAAAATATGAATAAACAATGTCTTTGAAAATTAAAAATATTGTTAATGATAATTTGAATGAATACTCTTAAAAAATGTAAACATTTAATAATTACTATGATCAATTAAGAAAATTATGAGCATTGAGGCCCTTTTAGTGTGTGTTTTTCCAATCTCGTTTAAATATAAAGACGTTGGGTCAAATTGAGTTTGTTGACTTTAACACGTGTAGCACTACCATTTAAACCATCCACACACACAAACACGCACACACTAACAACACAGAGGCTAAACTATCAACATGACACTTCATTCAGAAAACAAATCCCAACTTCCCAACAGCTGGACACGAAGTTTGACGAGACCTTCACGTGCGTCTGAGGAGTAGCTAGGTTACTCACGTCGTGATTGTTACTGTTGGGACTGATTTCTGTCTCGTTGACCAGAGATGACTTGATCTCCGCTAAGTCTCCCTCCTCCTCGGAGTGGTTGATCTCCGCGAAGATCTGCTCCTTGTGCGGGTCTCCCTCGTCTTTGAACGGGATCATTTCATCGGTGGCGCAGAGCTCCGGGTCCCCGCCGCCTCCTCCACCTGACAACTGCGGCATTTCTCGGGTGATTGAAAGTCCTCCTCACCCTACAAACGCCCGGAAAGCGAACGCGTGCAACAGAAACCCCCGTATACTTTCAGCTCGCGCGCACCCCAAACACGCGCGAGAGTGTTTGGTCAACAGCAGCAAGAGCGCGCGACCGGCAAAACACTCAAGAATCCAGAGGGGGAAATAAAATAAAGCGGCGCTGAATGTAAAAAAAAAAGAAGAAAAATAAAAAAGAAAGAAAAGAAAAAGAAAAAAGTTAAAGTACAGTTCCTTGGGTGTTTTTAAAGCAAGCGTCAGAAGTTAAAGCTCAAATGAACGCAGGACAGTTCTGTCTGTTCCACAAAAAAAATGACTCCCAAAAAAAGTGCTGGAGTTCAGATGCTGTGTGTCATTCCCGTTTTGTTTGTTGGGTAAAAAGGTGTCCCTCTTCAGAAATGAGCTCAGCAGAGACTGAGAGTAATGTTGGACTGGAGAGAGTGTAGTGCTGTACTCCTCCCCCTGATCTCTGACTGACTATAGAGATGAAAGAGAAGCCGCCGCTGTGATTGACACCTCACACACGCGCGCGCGTACACACACGCACATGTATTGACTGACACTCCAGAGGAAAGTAAAGGGGGATTTTATATATTTTATCCAACAAAAATGGACAGAGAGAAGAAAAAATGTGGAGATTCATTTTTCAGATTCGTTTTTTGGGGCTGTTGGAAACGAAAACAGTGTCGTGACAACGTCAGTTTAACCAATTAGAAAAGAGCTACTGGATAAGCCGTGTAAAATATTTAGTATTTACAGGAAACATCAAAAGTCATTTGTGAACATGGTATTGAATGTTGGATGACTGATTTCATGTAAATCAGCTGGTTATTTTGTTTAATTCGATATATAGGCTAGGCTAGCTAATATCCACGAGCTTTTCATCGTATGCTAATGTTTGAAACACATTGCAATATACTTGTACTGGAGCCACAAAGATGCACAACATTGTATAGCATTATCATCTTATGGTTTTAAATATGTTTTATGTATTAATATTTATATTTATATTTCCACAATTTTGAATTGACATGACCAAATTAAATAGGCTATAGGATGGCGGATAACATACATGTTATTTAGTAGGCTATATAGCCTAATTATTAGTAATAATTTCTAATAAGAAGTACATTTGATTAACAAATTCAATAGCCTATTTTATTTTAGTGTTAGTAAAAAAATTGGATCAGCAACCTTTGTGTTTATTTTGGATTTATAATCTAAAAAATAGGAGACAACTATTAGATTATTATATATACAAATTTGAGACACGTTTTTGCAATTATTAAATGTCCATATAATAAATGGTCGTTTAAATAGAAAAAAATAATGCAAACAAATAATAACATTAAAATACAGAAAAAAAACATGCAGAAACTGCGTTTTTAATGCAGTTGTATAATAATAGAGGATGAGATTGCGTTTGAAACGATCTATAAAGTTGTTGTTTTTTATCTCGTAGTCATCTTATTAGTAACATTTTCTCATGCATACTTGAAGTTGACTCGACTGCTTCGTTTGTTCTCAAGGTAGGCTAATCTAAATTTAATTGTTTTATTCAATTAAGCTTATTTATAAAACATACACGGTATAATCATATGCCATGCAATTTATTAGGGGTCACTTTTGAACTATGTACTTAACGAATTATTTACGAACCTTTGCAAAAAAAGAAAGAAAAAACACAACAAATAGGCTATTGTGTAACATGCTCTGACATTTGACGATAACTATTTGTTATAAATGGGCTACAATTAGGCTACAGATCTCGTTATCATCAGATTTTAATTGAAAACATTAATTTAGCCATTTCAGTCAAATTAGCATATTAAGCAGATTTTGTGAAATTGTTACAATGAATAAATCAAATGTAAACAGCTGCGAAATCTGCTAGCAATATTTAAATAGGCTATATAAACCCAGATAAATGCAAGGAGCCCTCCCTCAGTGTAGCAAAAAGCAAGAAAAGGGAAGAAAAACATTGGGAGGTGTTTCTACGGCTTGCGTGAGAATAAGTTTGGAGTAGGAGGCAGATCTTTATAAAGCAGGCGGAGGAGGGGTCAGTGGGCGGAGCCACGGCTGCCTTTGATCTGGCGGCGGCGGCCTCTTTCATCCACATTCTTTGTATGACCATATATGGTGTGAGGATGGAGACGCGCCAATATTTCCACGCGCTCCTTCATCCCAGCTGAGAGGGAAAGCGACGGTTCTCTTCCGGGTAAAGGAGACACAGCGAGAAAGATCAAAGGCTTTGGAATTGGAACCCGAATGTGGAATCAAGAGAGAGAGAGAGAGAGAGAGAGAGAGAGAGAGAGAGAGAGAGAGAGAGAGAGAGAGAGAGAGAGAGAGAGAGAGAGAGAGAAGAGAGAGAGACGGGACTGGCCGCATTCCAGAGTGTAGCGGAAAGCTGAGCCTTAAACACACACACACACACACACACACACACACACACACACACACACACACACACACTCGCGCATTCATTTACTGAGACTGGCTCTCGGGATAACAATCGAACCTTTCAGTTTTTAAATGAAATGTATGCATAGCAGGACAGATGTGTTGTTATTGTAAACTGTGTGGATTTATTTTAATGCATGGTTATTTAAACGCAAGGCTCCCTATGAAATGCATTAAGGCTGTAATTCCACAGCCCTGAGACAGCAAAACATTTATTATTTTAAAATGACAGATTCTCGACAATTATTAAGTGTGTCTGCACTGACAAGATTTTTTATTTAGTCAAACAAAGAAATATTTAGTGGCAGGAAATACATTCTAATTCAATTGTAAAAATGAATGCGCTTTATTTAATCAAAAACATTGTGGCAACAGATTACAAGCAATATTATTAATTCAATTTAACAAATTAGAACTGTAAAACCTGATGAGTTAGTTCAACTCAAACTGTTTGAGGAAACCGATTGCCTTAAATCGTTTATTAACTCAAACAATTAAAAAAAATTGATTTGTTTCCAATTAACTCAATAACTTGTTGTTAAGATAACTTGGGTAAATAAAGTTAATTAGTTAGTGTAACTTAAATCTATGAAGTATACTGTAAACCCACATAAGTTGGCAGAACTCAAATCACTTTTAATAGTTTAAACTTAGTTAGCTTTAAAAGCTAATCTGCTGACATAATAAATGCTAACATAATAGAAAGAGTACATTATAAGCACTAACAAGCACAGTAGCACTTGCTGTATGGGCATACTAATATAAAGGGATAATTTGCTCTCAAATCAAGCTGAATGCACCACTTGTCACCATGATGGTAACTATCTGAATGCCAACATTAACAAAAATTATTCTAAATTAGCATAACAAAACATTAATCAATACTAAATCTCACACTTAACATTAAATTTGCATGAAAAAAAAATATAAAATATAGTGCACTTAATTTTAGCATGTACACTCTCTTTCGAGTGCCATTGGCAAAGCATGCTGGGAAATAGATATCCCAGCCGTTTCAGTTAAACTTAAGTTCGTCTAAATTAAAATAAATAATTTCATAAATCTCAAAACAATGAAACAGTTCAGTTTACTTAAAATATATCAGTTCTGTGAACTTGAAAGAAAAAGAAGTGCTAAATACTCATAAAAATTAATTTGACTGAACTAATTAGTTGAATTTAAGTTTGTCCTACTCAAACCAATTAATTATTTTGACCGTTAGGGTTTACAGTTTAATCAAATTAATTCCTTAAAAGTTAAACATTTAAAATAAGTAAAATAAAATGTGTTTTAAGTAAATTTAAGTCACCATTGTGGTGATCAGTGTTTGTTTCAGGTTTGTTTTAAAATTACGTTTTTCTCCTTCAGTGATATTGTTTGTTAACATCACGTGTCTTCAATGTTGGCAATATAAAATAAAGAGTTCTCAATGAATCTTTGACGTTTGTCTGTTATTCAGATATTTTTGTTTAATTTTTTGGTGTAAACTTTACTCATTTTAAATGGTTAACTTTTAAGGAATAATTTGATTCAGTATTACTCAATTCTAATTTGTTAAATTTAATTAATAATATTGCTTGTAATCTGTTGCCACAATTTTATTGAATAGCATATTCATTTTTACAGTGTATAGAATGTCAGTATTGTAATCCTCAGTATTGGCAAATCTAGATTGATTCTATCCAGGGAAAGACTGGTTTCTATATGGCAATATAACCTTATTGTAAACTGTTGATTTATTTTAATGGATGATTCTTTGTAGCATAAATACATTAAGGCTGCCAGAAATCTCAAAACAGGAATTTTTGAACTGCGCTTGTTAAAAAGTCTAGACATGAACAGGATTTTTAACTTCAAATTTAGAAATTATTGCTGTATTTTGGTCTAATTAAGATTGGGCATGTCAGAAAAAAAATCAAGAGGCAAATTACTTTAAATTAAAGTAGGCTTCAGTATCTGGCATCATAAACCAATGTTAGCCTAAATAATGAAGTGTGTGAATGCATTTTCCTGGTTCACAAAGAGGTAATTTAGTCAAAACTCATTCTTTGTATGGGAAAGCAGCTCTGTGTGTCTAGAATATCAATAATTAGAATAAAAATCCAATTCAGCTTATTTCATAACATGAGGATATCTGACCTCATCGCAAGAACACGTTAAAACATGAAACTATCCACATTTCAGTGAGACTTCAAAGAAAACCGTATGCTTATACATCATTTAAGGGCAGAACATTGCGTCATCATCGCTGGACCTTCAACCGTTAGCAAACATACATTTACATAAACATAGTTAAGAGCAGTGTTGAATGCACAGCTCTTGCCTAGTATTTTTCTTTTACAGTAGGGTAGGTGCAATTATTGCCCTTTTTTTTCCTTCAAAAAAGAGAAATATCGTGAAAGAGAAGATCATTTGCATTTCTGTCTTAATGAGTTTGCAGAAGTGACCCCTCTGGATCAAACATGAAAAGGAAAGTGTCCTGCTGTGTCCTGACCTGAATTTAGTTGTCTCTCACTCTTCTACTGCATATTGAATATTATATAACCTTGAAGGACCAGAAATGTATCCATAACACAGCATAATTTATCAGAGCGCTGCTAATCTAGACAGGAATTACTGTTGGGTTCAGAAGAGAAGTTCAGAAAAGATTGCCCTCTTGCTGTGATGCTCATGCATGTATTGCTATTGATCAGGAACAGTGGATTAATAATTTGGTTTAACTGTAATCTGAGGATGGGAATGACCTATATAATGGAGGGAAAATTTGCTGATTTGGCCTGTAAATTATTCAATTGTTTTAATACGATATTGACCGTAGATCTTTAAAAAAAAGTGCTCATGTATTTAATCATATTATTCAGTCTGTAATCTCAGAATCATAACTAGGCCATGTTATGCCAGTGTTTTTCTTTTTAGGCTCTAGAAAAGGTTTTCATGATTTTCATGTTCAAAAAACCCATTATTTTTTACATTTGACATTGTTGCAACACCTCTCTTCCCAGTCTGAACGCTCTGATTAGTTTCTATGAACCCCTTCCTTCTGATTAGCAGTCTGTGCTCTGATTGGTCGGCTGGATCAGTGTGTTGTGATTGGTCAACTGCTTCCAGCGTGTGGGAAATGTAATGCGCCTTACCAGCGAGTTTCAATACTAACTCAAACAATCCCCTTTATTTTGCGTATGCCTTAGCTGGAAAATATTGCGCGAGAACTGAGCAAGAATGAGTAGAAGTAGATTGCAGTTCTCGCGCATGCGTTGTGGAAATCTCTTGAACTCTCGTCTCAGAAGGAAGAAAAGGAATAGTCGAATAAAGTCGTTATTTTTGTTGTTTTTTTTCAGCACAAAAACTATTCTCGACGCTTGATAAACCTATAGTTGAGACACTGTAGTCACATGGAATATTTAAACATTTTCTTCAATGACTTTCTGGGCCGTCAAGTTTCAATCCCTTAGGGTGCCTATGTGGTAGTGATGCAGCTCACAAATTTAATCAAAAATATCTTCATTTGTGTTCCGAAGATGAACGAAGGTCTTACGGGGTTGGTACAGCATGGGGGTGAGCAATTAATGACTTAATTTTCATTTTTGGGTGAACTAACCCTTTAAAGCAACAGCCTCTGGTGGAACGGCAACGGCAACCGGAAGTAAACTGTTAACTGTGTAGCTAAAGAGCGCAAAGATCACTAAGCAACAGTAAAGAGGACAGCATGGGGGATAATTTAATCATCAGACAAAATACAAAAAAAAGGAGATTTTAAATTGTAAGAGAAGGGTTGATTTTGGCATTTAATTATATACAGAAATGATTACAATGCCACATAACCTAAACCATAACATTAACTTTCATAATCTGTCACGTAGTAACGACTACGGCAAATCAGCTGTTCTCCCGTTTCCCGGTTACAGTAGAACGTCGTGAAGTTGCAGTTAATGTCGCGCATGCGCAATAGAACGCCAGAATGCCGTTGCCGTTCCACCAGATGCTATCCACAAGTTTCCTACGCCCCATGATGCCTTGCGTCAAAAGTGGGCGCGACTTCCGGTTGGAAGTAAACAAAGCGCGATTTGACATGCTTGACACTTGTTCATTCAACAGTTGACAGTCATTCAAGTTATAGCGATCCAGCTAACGATGTGGGAACACAACCTCAAAAGGGTGAAATAACAGTACCTTTACCCTCCGCAGTAGTTGATTGGGAGTATTATAATAACATTATTAATTATCAATACTCATCAAGGCATGGTGACAGACAGTTGTGCGAGCTGACAAACAATTAAAATAAAAAATACACACTTAGTCATTGTGCTTTGGAGTTTATTCAAAATTATAAATGAATGTGCTGCTTAAATACATTAACTGGCACATGTGGTATTCTGTCAACACAGGCTTAGATCCTGAGTTTAGGTGTAACATCAGTAGCGAACAGCCAATCACATGCTGATAGAGTTTATAGAATATTAAGAATTTAAACAAATGTACACAGGAAGATTCGTCGTCTTTTGGGAGGTGATGGAAAAGTCGTTGGCAGGATCACTCTGATTTCGTTTTCAGCTTATGTTCAAAACAATCCCGTTTAAGCCACTAAATTAGTTTAGTCCGGTTATACATACAACCGCGAACAGCACATGTTGTCCCTGAGCTCCGTAACGACATCTCTCATAAAGATTTGCGTCTTTAAATAGTAAAATAATTCTCCGAAAAACAGCTAGCCTCTTCGCTAACTAACACACAAAATACCATTGGAATGCTACTTCCGCCGCCTCGCCGGAAGTTTCACCCACTTTATTTTTTACAGGAGCGCCCCTCGGAAACTTGTGGATTGCTTTAAGTCCCTAATGTCACGTGCTGCGCCTGCGCATGTTTTCAATGGGAGCGTCGCGTTTTTAGGGCACCATACGAGGCGCTGGACGTTTTTAGAAAAGTTCACCTCCTCCACTGTGATTGGACAACTGGGTAAAAAGTGACAGTGATGAGGGCGCCGTTTTACCCAAAATTGAACATTTTTCAACTCTCGGCGACCAGTAAGTAAAAATCGTTTTTGGAGTGTCATCAGCCAATCCTGTCATGACGTAATTTATCTCTCAGATGACCCAAAGATAGCAGGATGCGAGGGGGAGCAAGTTATTATTCAAAAATAAGATCAGACAAGCATTTTTGTATCTTTGGAATAATGTGCACTGATGAATCATTCACAATAACACCATACATGTATTAAAAAACGGATCAATTTTGACTTCATGTTGATTTTTAAATAGAGTGCATTTACCTTGATTTAAAAAAAAAAAAAACAGTATTTCAAGAATGACAGAAACAATCACAGTATAGTACAGTTCAGTGAAACCACACTCTTTGCAGCCGCGATAAAGCTGGCAACCGACCCGGCGGTTCTTCCACCTGCTTCAGTTCTGACAAACCCCCCTGAATCGAAAATTATAGATGTGAAGCTCCCAGTCACCGCCTAATAAACGACAGGAAACAAACATCACATTAAGATGAAAAGAGCATACAATTAAAGTTGAGAGGGGGGCGAAAGAAAGCCATTTATCAGACAGAAGAAGAAGAGTTAGAGGTGGCTGAGGTTTTGAGGCGAGAGATGGTTTTTGCTACTCTTTTATTGGCGGGAATACAGGTGATGTTCAGAGGAAGGGAAAGTGTCTGGAGGGGATGAGCTGAGCGTTCAGCCCCACTTCTGTCCTATGATCTGCTGATTTATAACACGGCGAGAAGCAGACATACTGTTATTAAAATAAAATCATATTCTGGATGGAGCTGGGGAGGGGAAAAGACCCAACAGGGGGAAATTTGTTATGCTGGGTTATTGAGTTTGGAGCCTTCTGCACCTACACACATTCACTCTTGGCAAGCCTGTCAAAATACGCAATGAAAATTAAAAAGACTATAGAATATCTCCCACGTATGTTTTTAGCCTACATGGGGGTATTTTTCATAAATGTCAGGTATGGTAAGTTGACTTGCCACATTTTAATCTTAATTTCTGTTGGACAAAATGGACAGCTCTTTTGAACTTTCTATTTATCAAAGAATCCTGAAAAAAATGTGTCAGTTTCCACATGAAAGTAGCACAACTGTTTTCAACACTTGATCATCAAATCATAGAACGATTTCTAAAGGATCATGTGACACTGAAGACTGGAGTAATGATGCTGTTGCATCACAGGAATAAATTACATTTTAAAAATACATTGAAATAAAATATTTTTGCTGCTTGTTCAAATTGCTTAATTAAAATGAGCTTAAGCAACACAATTGCTATACATTTTGTCCAAACTTAATTTGATTGAGTTACAGCTGCTTAAATATATGTAAAATTTAGGTTTACTTAATCCGTTTGTTTTGGATTACTGAAACTGGGCAGTGCTAGTTAGTTCCCAGCATGCTTTGCATTTGTTGAAATATAAATATAAATGTTGAAATTAAGTGTTATTTTATGTGTTTTTGAGAAAATGAGAAAAGGGGAAGACTTGATAAGTTGTGTTTAATGTTCAATTACATTGAAATTATTAGAGCCGTTTAAATTACAGTGGGTTACCATTGTGAAGAAGAGTGGAGCATTTGGTTAGGCTGAAGACTGATTCAGCAATACTCACAGCAAATGCCTTGGCTGATGAACCATGTAAATCTTCTTTAAGATGTTAAAAAGTATTTCTACACTATTAAATAATCTGTGCTCAACCATAGTAAATAAAATTGAGTCAATCTTAACAAATTAAGTTGACCTAACGCAAGTTCATTAAAGGAGTAGTTCACTTTTAAAAAAAACTTTTGCTGATAATTTACTCACCCCCATGTCATCCAATATATTCATGCCATTCTTTCTTCAGTCGAAAATAAATGAAGGTTTTTGATGAAAACATTCCAGGATTTTTCTCCATATAACGGACTTCAGTGGGAACCAAACGGTTCAAGGTCCAAAACACTTTTCAAAGGGCTTTAAATGATTCCAGACGATGAATAAGGGTCTTATAAAGCGAAACGATCGCTCATTTAAAAAAACAAAGTTTAAGTTTTATAAGCTCAAATGCTCGCCTTGCTCTGTTCTGTGATGCATGTTCGTGACTCTCCGGTTCGAACTCGTTATTTGGTTCATTCAACGAACAAAATGAACGATTTGACTCTGAAATGAACGAATTGATTTTGATGAACGAGTTCGAACAGGAGAGTCATGAACGCGGATCACAGAACAGAGCAAGGCGAGCATTTGAGCTTATAAAACTTACACTTTGTTATTTTTTTATTAAATGAGCGATCTTTTCGCTTGATAAGACCCTTATTCATCGTCTGGAATCGTTTAAAGCCTTTGAACAGTTCGCAGTTTGCACTGAAACTGTCTTTTGGAACTTGAACCGTTTGGTTCCCATTGAAGTCCATGGAGAAAAATTCTGGAATGTTTTCATCAAAATCTTAATTTGAAGAGTTCAGATGCAAAAGCCTCTAAATGCCATTTGAAATTTTCTTCTTTAATGATGAAGCATCAAAACTTCATATTTGCTTCATGCAACTTCATCAAACTTGCATATTTAAGTTCAGTAATTTCACTTAAATAACAATTAATAGGTAATTATCATTGCCATTTAAGTGAAATCACTGAACTTAAATATACAAGCTTGATAAAAATCATTATTACTGGCATTTAGAGGCTTTTGCATCTGAACTCTTCATTTATTTTTGACTGAAGAAAGAATGACATGGATATCTTGGATGACATGGGGGTGAGTAAATTATCAGCAAAAATTTTTTTAAAAGTGAACTACGTCCACAAGTTAATAATGTGGAAATCCTTTCCATGATTTTTTATGTTCATTCAAAGAGTTATTTTTTGAGTGTACATTAAAAGAGACAACAGTTATTTTACCCCTGTGCACAAAAGACTTATTGTGCACCCGACACGTAGAGGCAACCCCTGTGCAATTTCCACAGCCTGTGTTTGTCTTCAGACAGGAAGTCCACCAGTAGCCCAGAATGCTGTATCTGTCTTTTCATCCTGCCGCGTTATTGAAGCACACATTGAGTTTGGGTCAGGTCCTGCTGAGAAAGTGTCAAAGGTCATGACCGCCTTACTGAGGAGTCATAAAGCCCAAGTCCTGTCTGTAATCAAACACACACACACACACACACACACACACGCACACGCACACACCTCTCAGACAGGTCATCTCTAATGGCATTTAAACAAGATCCATCACTGTCAATATCTAGTCACACTAACAATGAGCAGGAAACCATAAACAGACTCAGCACACAATCCTATATCACATTCTCACATAAGCAATATTAATGTGTTCACCACAAAAAATAAATTCTGTCATTTTATACTCAAACCTCATGTCGTTCCAAACTCTGAAATTAAACCCAATGGAGTAAACCCTAATGTTGTTTTGGACCACATTAACATTCATTGTATGAAAAGTCATTTCATTAACAAAAACTGAAACATTCTTCTTTAAAAGTAAATTAAAAAAAAAAAATCCAGAGCTCTAAAATGTTCTAGCAATAATGTAAAGAAAATAAAAAAAATAATAAAAAACGCCATACACCATCCTCCATGCAATATGAAACTGAAAAAATGCAAAAGATCAACCTGGATGTTGCTACAATAAAGCATTTCTAAGGAGCAAAAGGTTAGACCAAAGAGTTTTATTTTCATATAAATATTCAAAGTGGAGTAAGCCGATAGTCAAACGTTTGGCTACACGAGACTAACCCTACCTTTGTCTGAGAGGGATTTCCCAGACACAGTTCAGTCCTGATTCAGGTAGGCAAATTGACTGAGTGCTTTTTTTGGTTGAAAGAGCCTGTTCAAACAGCTCAGAGACGTGCAGGAATTGAAAAAAAAAAAAAAAAAAAAAATGATAATCTCTGTCAGCAAGTGTCTGGTGTAGAAGACACTCGTAAAACACTTCCAAAGCACTGAAGTCATAGCAGAGAGATATAATAACATAAATGTGCAATTCATTGTTCACTTTTATCTATTTATTATCTTGTCCTACCAACAAATGCTGTTGAAAGTCCAATGCTGATTAAATACTAATTGCTAACCTTTTTAAACTGCTTTGGTAAGGAAACGCTCTGACAATAGCCCCAGTGAATCATGTCGGTCTGATTTACACAACCTTTCAAAAAATTTCGGGTGAGAAAAATGATTTTTAAAAAAAATAAATCAATATGTTTATTCAACAAGGATGCATTAAATAGATTTGAAGGGACAGTAAATGAGGTTCCTATTTCTTCCTTTTTAATATTATATTCATCAAAAAATGCATCCACAAATATATTAAGCAGCACAACTGTTTTAAACATTGATAAAATTACTAAATGTTTCTTGAGCATCAAATCTTCATATAAGAATGATTTATGAAGGATCATGTTACACTGAAGACTGTAATGATGTAAATTCAGCTTTGCATCACATGAATAAATGACTTTTTAAAATATATTTAAATAGCGAACAGTTATTTTAAATTGTAATAATATTTCACAATATTACTGTATTTTTGTATAACAAATACATACAGCCTTGCTGACTTCCTTCAAAAATCCGTTGAATGGTAATTGTGTACATTTTTATAATGTTTCATTTTTTCAATGTTTACAATTTTTCAAATCCCTATGCTACATTTTTGAAAAGCAAAGAGGCCAATTAACTGGACTAATGATCAAGACCCCATGACCTCTGCATCGTGTTCCTTAAGGCTGTATCCTACAGTATGTAGTGCCGAATTACCATGTTTCATAACTGTGAAATTATAATCTGGTTAGTCATGGTGAAATTCTGTGCGAATGTACAGTCTACTTGCTAGTGTCTGATCCCACCCTGCAACCCCCAGCCCCACCTCTTAAATTAGGCCCCTCCCCTTACACTCCCTGTCTAGTCATTACTTACCTAACCATCTGTCTGTTTAATCCCTATCATCAATGGCCAAGGGAATACTAGAAATCAAAGGGTCCTTTCATGATTTCACACAACACCACAGCATCGGTTGAGCGGGGTTCTGTAAATATTTGCTGCCTTTCATTTGACGATGAATCGTTCCTTCAACTAGAGGGATTCGTGGGTAAACAGGGAGCATTTCTGGAGGACCCCGTGGCCCCGGCGAGTTTGTTTACAGTGTTTCCGCCGCCGATCATGCACTCCGATGTCCTTCCTGTTTCCCATGGGCCTCTGTTCCATCTCATCGTTCGGCCTTCCTTCGTTCTCTATCTCCTCCTCATCGACCCATCGTCCTTCCTCCCATCCCGTCTCACCACCTCTCGGATCTCCCATGTGCCGTGTCCTTCCTTTGATTTCTCGCCTCGCTGCCATAAACATTCCTCCCCAGTGGTCTCCTTCAATTTCTTCATCTTTTGAGCATTTAGCAAACGGCATGACTTTGATAAAGCGTGTCTGGAGAGAACTGATTCAAAAGCAGACAGCGCATGGTTGGAAAATATTTGCACCCTTACAAACACGCAAACATTCGGTTTATCCCAAGATACTGATTTAGCATCGGTGTTTGTTGTTGATGATGATGATCATCCGTCATGGAAGTGTATGTTTCGCCTGAAAGAAACATACAGATATTTCTTTTCTAGGCGTTTACTCACTTAAACCATGTTAAAAATATATATATTCAACAAACGCAAACATTCAGTTTATCCCAAGATGCATTGGTGTTTGTTGATGTTCATCCGACATGGAATTAGCCTAGGCATGTTTTGCCTGAAAGAAACACCTGAAACACACAGACGTGTGTTTTCTATGCGTTTACATTTAAATATAAAATAAAATAAATATAAACTATGAATATATATTCAGCAAATGCAAGCATTCAGTTTATCCCAAGATACTGATTTTGCATTGGAGTTTGTTGATTATGTTCATCCGAAATTGAAAAGGATCATGTGTTTTGCCTGAAGGAAACTCCTGAAATACACAGAAATAAAATATTTTCAAGATTTGTTATCACAACTTTTTTCTTTTGTCAAATCAACTTAAATAATTTATTTAGTTGAGATAACTTATTATTTTGAGTTTCTGGTGATTAAATTAATATCCTTCATTGCATTAACTCACTTTTTCCAGTTCAATCAACTTAAAATTTTAAGACAACCAGGTTACTTACTTTTTTAAGTTAAACCAACAATATGTTTTTTTTACAGTGATAAGATCAGTGTGGTCTAAAAGCTCTCTGTGTAATTATCTTCAATATGATAATCATCATTGCTCTAAAAAGAACTTACATGTTTAATCTTAAGTTTGAGATGAATAATGGCAGACTGTTGAAATTTAAGTCAACATCAAAGCTAATATTTAGTTATATTTGGGTGTTTTAAATATGATGTCAATTTACCTGAATCTGATTCAAAGTCTTAAAAAATGAGGTTCCCCATTGCTAACAGACCACTGGAAAAAACCAATAGACCCATCAGAGGAGACTCTATACCCCAGTGCACATGAGCCTCCATCGCCATCTGACACAGGATCATCGCCCCTGATACGCTGGGCCCCTGAGGGGATCGTGGAGAGCTAGTGGATTGGATCCCAGGGGTGTCCAAAATGAATCCAACCTAATCCAACCCCATCCGCACGCAGCGCAATTTTGCTGTCTGTTCAGCTCCCCTGTGCTGTTTTTGAAATGGACCAAAGCTCGCTTTCTTTTCCTTTATGAAGCAGAAGGTCATCTATAAAAGAGATTTGTTTATTATTATTTTTCTATAAATTTGATATATTACATACATTGAACATACAAAACGCTGGGTGTCAAACTAAATAAAAATGTACATTTAGACATTCATTTCTGCATGTTCACACAGATGAATTAAGTTAAAAAGAAGCAAAAGCCTGGAAAAAATAAATATGGTGGGCATTGGAAGTGCTGAAAAGAAAATTCATTCATACTTTACAGATATATTGACAGTGCCATAAGTCAGGCAACCCGAGTCAAGATTTTCCTGTTCCTTCTCCAACTGCTTACAGTCCTTAAAAAAAAATAAAAATAAAATTATATATATATATATATATATATATATATATATATTAGGGCCTTAAAAGTTTTTATTAAAAGTTTGTGTGTACATAAATATGTGGGTGCACTGTGTATAATAATTTTATATATATAAATAATATTTTTATTTTTTTATAAACAATAATTTATATTACATATAAATACAAATATTTTATATATAAATAATATTTTTTTCTAATATACATGCATGTGTGTGTTTCTATTTATATATATATATATATATATATATATATACAAAATAATTATAAAATAATTAATAATTACTGTTAGGTGGAGGAAGATTAACTAATCACTGATTAACAAGAACGGGTGGCAAAAAGACAGAATATAGGCCCTGTTTACATGAGAACGCTTGCGGGTGAAAACGTCAAAATATTTTATCGGATGTGCTTTTTGTCTACACGGTGACGGCATTTTTGGGGCTTAAAAACACAAAAAAGTGAAAACACCCTCCAGAGTGGAAATCTTAAAAAAGCTCCACCGCGTTACAGTCTAAGGGGTAAAAACCATAAAAACACAAAAGTCTGCTAAACAGTGAAGGTTGTGCGCAGACTTGATGTTGTTGTGTGGCAGTGCTTCACATTGCCACCTAGCCGCTTGGAGTGCATACTACATCGAATTTCACACACTTTTGCGTCACCATATGCGCGCGGATTTCCCACCCATAACGCTCGTCTAAACGCAGAATAAAAACTGATAACGCAACGCCACTTTTGCGTTTTCTCTTCAGATCGTTTCTTTGTAAACACAGCCATAATTGTGACAATTAGACATACCTGAAATCTTTTTATTTCATTTGTACCTTTTTGTGTATTTATTTGTGTTATTGCCTGTAATTTGTTGATTACTTCTTATTTTATTACTTACTGTTTACTTGCCTTTATTTAACATGTTAGTCTCTTTAAAGACCTGCCTCTTTTCACTCAGCCCATCTTAAATCTCAACACTGTAGCCAGATCTAGCTAGATCATGGCTTAAGCCGCCAGGACGTAGGTAAAAGTGCTTACATGCAGAGCAAAAATATGGGCATCTGCATTTGCTCAAACAGTTTATGATCTTCCCCAGATAAATAAACACAGTTTAAGGTGTTTACACGACCCTAAATGATAATTAAACGGTATAATCGGTGCATGCAAACACACCCAGAGAGCTCAGCTCACCTTAAGTGCATTCCCCCTTACGACCCTGTCAAAAACAGCACACAACTACGTGTCTGAAAAGCATTTTTTTTTTTTGCACGATAAGTGATAGAATCAGAAATCACATTACGGGAATCTTCCTCTAATCTGAATATTCCAGGACTTTTTCCCCCCCGTTTTTAATGAGGGTGCAGTGTGTATTCTGGGAGGATGAGTGTCTGGCTGATGCTGGTGATTTGTTGGAAGGCCCCATTGTCCCATGTTAATGATGTCCCTTTGTGAGAGACGGGGATGAGGGCTGAAGACGTTGCCCGTGGTAAGGGAGCGGGCGGCTGAGGGTCTTAGTGTGACTGGCAGCTGGAATAATCCTCCCTTTGTACCCTCTGAGGGGCTCTACGAGTGTGCCCCATCGCTTCAGACCAGCCAGATGGAATCACAGAGAGCGAGCGACAGAAAGTATTCAAAGCCACACAAAAGCCTTCAGGCCAGACCACGTTTAGCTTATCTTAGGTTTGGTTTTCGCGCGACGCGGCGCTCAATGTCTTTGGTCGGGTACGTCAGTGCCGCCGGCCCGAAGCGTGCCAGAGAGCCCTTTGATTGGAGCGTGTCTCTTTGTGGACTCAACTCCTTGGTAAACCTGTGGTAACTCAAACCATCCAACACACTTTGTTTATTTACGCTTCAGGCCTCAGAATGATATACAAGTGCGAGTTATATAAGAGTTGTTCTGTTTTAGTTCGGTTGACATGGATTCCCTCCAGTTGTGTTTGGCTTGGCCATGTGATGTGGTCGCTTCCCAGCGGTCTGTGCCGTTACGCCTCGAAAATGTCAAAGACGACTCTCCGGCAGAGACGCAACGGCAATTGCACATTCTGTTGGCGGTTTCGCCCATCATTAGATCTGAGGAGTATTTGGGATCACCATTGTTTGTGCATGGCAAGCAATCTATCTTGATGTTCATATTTAGATTGCAACTGAAACCCCTAAAACATATTCTGATCCCCCTGAAACCCAAATGTGGATGGCAGCTCTTTGATTTCCAGTGAATGAGCCTCCTCACTCCAAACTTCAAATGAGACATTAAGCAAAGGGATTTGATGTGAAACAAACTCCATTGATCTTCTAGCTTTCTTCTTAATTTTTGACGAAACTGTTGGATTAGCACCAAAAACTTTTCGAAAGCCTTCAAAACAGTCATTAATTCCAGCTCGGTAAATCCAGTTCCTGTGCCGAATGCTACTGAATGCGGTGGAATCCCCTCAATTCAAACATAATTTCCCAAAACATTGAGATGCACGAGTTCCTCGCAAGCGAGCTAATCGTTTGCTCAAATGGCAGATGGGAACGATTATATATATTTAGAATCAAACATACAAACAGAGAAGCTCAAAATGAGCGCTAATACGCACTTTATCGTGGAAAACGTGAACAAAGTGTCAACATATCCATGCTTTTCAACATAATCTCACCAAATCAAAACGAATCTGCATATTGTGTGTGCCGAAACAGACTGTCCGAGTCATGAATGGTTGTTTTGGGGTATGAATCTATTGCCTGTTGAATAAATTGGTCAGAGAAAAGAGAAAATAAGGGTTGAGAGATGTCTTGCTTGAGTGTACAAATCCCACTGAAGGGGCAACAGTAGCTTTGAAATGAGACTCATTCTTCTGTGTGTGTGTGTGTTTTGCACATGTATAATGAAAAGCAGTTAGTGAGTGGACCATATCCTTTGCCCTGAGTGGCTCTGGCGCAGACTCTCTTAATTTAAGAGGGGATTAGGCTTGTGGAAGAACACTACACCCTCCCTCTCTAATTGGAGACGGCTAATAGCTGGACTCCTTGAAAACTGAGCCTTTTATCTTCCCAAGCTGAAATGGACTTAAAACATAGAAAGAATTACAATATATCCATCCAAGCATCACACATGATTTCGCTGGCTGAGCTCCTAAGCACCCGGCGTAGCTTCTCGCTGAATTCATTTGAATGCACATTGACTCGTGATGATGTCAAAGACCCGATGGGTGATGTCATCAGCACAAATCATAACGGGCTTTATGGCAGCGGTTCTCAACTGGTCCGCTTCAGGAGCTGAATTTTACTTTTATACTATATAAAAATAAAATAATAAGCATTATTACATATGTTTTACAGCAAAAAACATATTATTAACATTGAACCATGGAAGAACCTGTATTTAATGTAGACTGTGTCATATTTTCTTATACATATTGGAGTGGTTTTCGAAGATGTCGTACTTTACAAATCAAGCAACCTGTCCGTGTTGGCATCTGCTAAATTAAAAAAAAAAAAAAAAACTTTATTGCAATCCACCGAATGAAACTCAATGCTTTTTGGCACACTATATTTCGATTGAAATAATAATTATTATTGATGTATTCGTGTATTGTATGGCACTAATACCATACAATACACGAATAAGATAAAATAAACAAAAATATATATTATAAACTGAAAAAAATAAATTTAAAAAATATAAATTAAATTAATTTCAATAAATATAATAAATAAAGATAAAATAAATATTACAAAATTGATAAATATATTAAAAATAATAATAAAAGCACACAAATGATGAATATATTAAAATAATGAAATAAAAGAAGAAGAATAAAAGAAATAAAAAGATACTTTTTTTCTTACTTTGGTCACGTTCACTTTTCCTGACTAATACAGGCTGCCAAAAACAAACAAAAAAAGTCAAAATAGTTATGACGACTAACATACTTCCAGATGGTAAAATTTATTATTATATTACAATTTAAATTCTTGCATGTACATTTAAAAAAAAAAATTTGGTTCATCAACTTCATCCAGCTTCATCACCAGTTGATTACTTCCCAAACTACAAAATGTTTAATAAACAACTTTGAGACCAAAATGAAAAGGGATCATAAGCATTTCATGAGAAAAATCCCTCAAAGTTTATTTACAACCGTATTCTTTGAAGCACAACTGTCGCAAGCTGGTCGGGACCATTGGTTACGGATGCTGTCTTAAAATATGGTGCTGATTCGACTTTGACAAATCAAAAGCCAGCATGATCATGGAGAAATCTGCGATATTCCTGCTGATTTTCCCTTTTAAACAGTCCTAGCATCACAGCTTATATAAAATGTTGCAACCAAACTTTTTTTTTTTTTTTTTTTTTTTAGGGGGGAAAACTTCTCAAATTCTCTGAACTGTACAACATCTCTGCGAGTCTCTCCAAGGGCCGAGCACTTCAAAACCCTCCTCAGAAGCCTTGTAACAGACCCAAAACCAGCCTTAGAAAAGAGAAGGAGAAAGAGAGAGGGAAGAAAAAAGAAAAAGCATGAGAAGCAAGATCTGGAAGAGTAAAAGAATCTCTAAGAAACTATAATTGAAAGAAAAGGCCTGAGTTTTAAAGCAACCTCTGAACAGATGAAACAAGCGCACAAGCGACTGACTGTACCCCCCTCCCTTCCTTTCCCTTTTCCTTTCCCTTTTTTTTCAGCTTACTGAAATAAGGCATTTCTTTTTTCCATCTGATTGAGTGTAAGACTAAAAGAGGACTAGAGGAAGCGAGACCAGCTTGTGTGTGTGCCCACTAGCTTTTAGTCCGTAGCCTAATGAGTTCCTGAGGGAAGGGGTGCTGTCAATCATCCAGCGTTCCCTTTTTTCATCTCCCACCAACTCAGTCTGTACCGCAGAACTGAGGGGCATGACATAATTAGAGATCACTAAGTTACCACAACTTTTCCCTCTTTATAACAGGCCTGCATTAACCGTAGGGAAAAAAGCGCTATGATGTGATCAATTACATGATGTCCAGAGAAAAACAAAAAAGTAGATGTGTTGGATTTAGTAGGATCAGCATCCGGTTTAACCCCTGGGAGTCACATGAATACAAAAAGGGTGTGAGAGAATGAGAGCTAGAGAGGGATATTATGATGTTTTCATTTGTTGAGCGCTAAAAGGGTGCCAGTAAGCATTGAGTAACAAACAGATGGGAGGAGTGCTGATTGATGGGTCACGGGAAACAAAAACAAGACAGGGATTTGGAAACATCTGCATGTGAATGGAGCTCACTTGAATAAGCCTTCGCTGAAGAACAGACGCCGGCAGAAGCTCGGAGTAATTGCCGATGAGCAATTTCAGAGAGAAACGGATCTAGCGGAGAAGACAAGAACATGTATAGCGCTGAAGAGGAGGTGTGTGAGACAACAGAGCGCGTACATCATACCAACCGGCGTTCATTAAAAGAAAATTATGTCTTTATTTACTCTCTTGCATGTCATTTCCTGCATTCTGCTTCGGTGGAAGACAAAAGGAGAAATTTGGTTGGGCAAAATTCACAGCTGAGGAATTGTTCCCTTGAAATCACGAGCTGAATTCTTTATAGAATTGACCCCACATTGAATTGAAATTGAACGACATCAAAAAGGAAATTAATGAATTTAATGCTGCCTTCAAAATTAAAATAGCTTTTTTGTTGATTATTATAATTCACTACAGATTTATTAGTCTGCCCAGGATTTCGAGATTGCCCGAATTCGGGATTCAGATTTTGTGTTCTACAGTAGCCATTCATTATGTTTACTGTAGCAGGACGAGGCTGAGGGCCACGGGAGAACGGCGCGAGGCCGGTGGCGTAATTACCAATGAGCGACACCTGTGAGGCGCACCGGTCTCGGATCTCTCACAAAGGAGCGGGAATTTCCTTAGCAATGTTAAAACGCACAACAACCGATCATTAGTTTAGTGTTTACGTAAACACTACATTCTGATTCACCAATAAGAATGAATTCAGTTAGATTGAAACAAAAGGTGTGCATGTAAACAATGAATGGCGACTGCAGAAAGCAAAAGCTGAATCCCTGACATCGATGGCTAGGAAAAAGAGGATTGTAACCCTTACTACTCAGCTTTCTCCACAGAACAAGAACCTGCTAGCTTAGCTTCCAAAAAAAGATGGCTGACACACTATGTGTACTTTCTGTGAGTGAGATCCCACCCTCTATGGGCGGATTAAAAACATGCGGAACAGACCATACTAGCTATAGCTGTGCCTCTAGCCCAAAAATCCTCCGATGACGCATTTAGGTTACCTTTCACAATTGAATTAAGATTCAAAAATGAAACCTTTTATACATGTTGTACAAGGTTTAACTTGATGAGAAATCACTGTTACTTTTTAGAGCTTGACGGACACGGTCACTATGAACTCTCATTGTGTAGAAACGTTTCTCATTGTGTTCAAAGTGTGTGTGTGTTTCGGTTGAGGTGATTTATGGGTTTAGAATGATATGAAGGTGAGAAAATAAAGAACTACAGGGAAGAAATCGCCATTGGAAAAGGAAAACCATCTCCGACAGCACAATGAATACGCAGGTCGTTAACAGGACTGAAAACGGCATGTTTTGCCACGCAAATATTCAAATTGTAAGCCAGGTCCCACTTAGTGATAGCATCTCATCATTCTTTGGCATAAAGAATGTATATCAACATCTTTTTTTTTTTTTTTTTTTTTAAACAGCAAGGGCCAAACATACATCGTCCCCCATTGAGAAGGAAACCCACAGCTTTGGGTTAATTACCCCACAATGCAACGGCTGCAATGATCACCTTCGTCTCTTGTGAAACTCACTGTGCGCTTTGGCAGCCAGGCCATGGCGGTGCCAACAGGAGGAAGAGTGTGCCAGCCTGTGAAAGGGTTGAGTGCGGTTGACCCCCATGGGTTGTGTGGGCATTGGACTCAGATCAAAGGCATGGAGCAGCGGAGAGAGGAGGAGGTGAACAGCTACGGTGAGGGCGGGAGATGTGCCAACTCGGATTTGCATCCCTGGAGACGGAGAGAGGGGTGAGACAGAGAGAGAGAGACACACAGACAGACAGAGAGAGATACAGGATTTCTATCTCTCTCATTATTTGCTTGCTCATGATAAACCCAACGATGCAGTGCAAAAGGTGTCATGGTTTATTTGAATGAGAACTGGTCAAATTGGGTTATACTAGTGTGCTGAAAGCCGTCTACATTTTCCCAAGTGTCCAAACTGTTATATAAAATCAACGTTGGATGTCTTAAAGATTATTAAAGACGGCTTATCTGCCTTGGCTTGTATACCCACCTCTTGCTTAGCAGGGTTTGCATCTTTCAGGAAATAAAATTCACAAATGAGATTTTTTTCTCAGTCTCCCAGACAGAGAAACTTTTGCCTAAGTCTTTAAAGGAGAACTCCGCCGCAAAATGAACCTTTGGACTAATAAAATATTGGTACCAAGTCAACCGTTCTCTGAGATTTGTTTTCATGATAATCAAATGTAAAGAGTTTTATCTCTAAAAACTGTTTAGTGTATATAGTATATGGGGGCATATAATAAGTAAAAAGAAATCGCTAGTTTATACCACTAACAAGGCTCAAACTAGCCATACACTAACACAGTAACATAATGAGGGTCCCTACATGCAAAACGAAGCATTGAGAACTTTGTAAATGTACAGAGAGTTTAATAAGACGATATTTTATAAAATAGACAGGCCATCTTTGGAACACAGTCTCGACAAGTCGAACCATGAATAACCAGTATCTTCTTATTAAACTGTCTGTACACTTAAAAAGTTCTCAATGCTTCATTTTGCATGTAGGGACCCTCATTATGTTACTGTGTTAGTGTGGGGCTATTTTGAGCCTTGTTAGTGGTATTAACTCAGTGATTTCTCTTTACTTATTATATGCCCCCATTTCTAGCGTTATAAACTAAAAAGTGTTTAGAAATAAAACTCTTTACATACGATTTTCATGAAAACAAATCTCAGAGAACGGTCGACTAGGTACCTATATTTTATTAGATATATCAGATTTACTTACTAATTTACCATCAAATGTATCCACATACATTTTTTCTAAAATCAATATATATATATATATATATATATATATATAAATAAATCTTTATGTAAAGGCACAATGAATATGCAGGTTGAAAACAGAACTGAAAATTGGCATGTTTATCCATTTTTAGTCAGGTGGATGAAGAATTCTTAGTTAAAATTAAGAAAGAGAAGCCAGAGTTTTAGGTTACTTACGGCAAAATGAAATACATTTTACAAAGATCAAATAATCTGAGCTTCTATTCAGAGTAATTTTGAAATAAATAAATGAATAAATAGCTTTTCAATCTTTGTAATTTTTGTTCTCTTGGAGACTTAGAAGAAACATCTGAGACCATTATAAAATAGCAATTTGCTAAAATAGCACAAAAAAAAAAATCCTCTGAGATTCGTCTTTTCGTCATTTCACCTCTTCAACACTCACAGCGGGAGAATTATTCACTCATCTGATCACTATTTTATCACTGCCTCACTATTTTCCTCCTTACCTGTTCTCCGCTGCTCCCCTGTTCACCCTCCTCCACACCTGAGTTTGACATCAGCAGGGCCTCATTTAGTGTCAACTTGTGTCTTCTCTTTAATGATGGGGGGATTAGTGTTGAGCAATCGCTGGGCGCGCACAAACACACACACACACACACACACACACACACACACACGTACACTCACATTCCCGCTGCGAGTGTCTTTTTAAGAGACTGATCAATGTCACTTTGGCATACTCTCAGTGAAGCTTAACACGACTCTACCCAGCATGGGCCGCAGTTCCTACAGCTCACCAGAGGTTTTACGGACTTGTCGAGTCTAAATGGCAAGAGGGACAACAGAGGAAGAGCTAAAGCCCCAAATGCTAATGTCTTAGCCCTCAGTGGGAATCTGGTTTCAGGAGTAAAGGAAATTCATATTTTCCGAAGGAGATCTCATGATTTTCAAATAAGCTGAAAGTGAAGGTTGAAATAACAACAAAGAAATCCAGCTCCCAAAAGTACTTGGAACTGCATTTATAGCACAGTGAGAGCTAAGAGAAAGGCCTTCTCATTCATTCATTCGTTCTTTCTCTTGTTTATTTGTTCGATAATTTGTTCCTTCCTTCGAACAAATAAACGGACGAAATTTCAACATTGTATACGCTTACTTTGGTAGTACCATGGTACATTGATAACAAAAATCATGGTACTTTGATATATGCAGTCCAACTGAATCAATATGGTAAAGCTACTAAAAGATACCATGGTGAACTTTTTTGGCCCGTTCACATCAAGGAAGTTAACTATAATGATGACTACAACTATATAGTTTTAATAATTGTTCAATGGAGCTAAAGCTGCAGTTACTGCTCTGGCGTAGAAGTCCTTTGTGGAGTATCAAAAGGATCGAGATCTACAAGAGAGAGCGAAAGATGACGAGAACAAAATGTTTCTCCCATATTAGAGATGTCAAATTTCTTAGCAATAGTAAATGTAACATTGGGATGTACCGATACCATCTTTTTCAGAATCGATCCGATCCGATACCAAAAATTCTGAGTATCGACCGATACCGATCGATTTTTAAATCAAGTAGAATTTCTATAAATCTGTGTGTTGACTAATAATCACTCTTGTGTGTGTTAAACACAATCTGTGTAATACAGATAACTTCATTTTAAAGATAAACAACAAATCCAATAAAATATATATTATCATAATCTATGACAAATTCTATTACAAACTAGATTAGTGGATAATACACATTTCGGTACAGGCATAAGGCTGCTCAAAATGCCATCATATGTTTTGGATATTTGTCTGTCGAAAAACACGTAATGTTTTGTATCTTTAGGTACTGTCTTCTTAAGCGAAATAAGACTAAATGTATTATGTTCTTTTTTTTGGTCGGGATCAAAATATCCAAGAGAACCAAACTACAAGTGTAAACACACCCTTAGTCTTTGAGTAACATTTAAGGTTTTTATTTACCCAGAAAGCATTTCAAACCTTGACAGATCCAGAACCACTCTCCTTTCGAATAATGAACCTGGACCACGAGTCAGAGACCTGGGAATCATGGGATAGGTTTTAAAAGCTCTCTGTCGGTCATAACAGTCCACAGTGAGGCCACTTGGATCAACATTAAAGAGAGTCGCGTCTTCAACGTGTGACTGCTGGTCCTGCAAGAGAAAAATATGTGGGAAAAGATGATATTGACAAGGAAAAATGCCTAAATGTTCGCCAGACAGTCTTGGTGGTAGATGAGGCACATGGAAACTCCCTTTTGTTTTCTGGGGGGTCTCGGGGTGTGGCTCGCTTCACAAGAATGCGATCAGCTCTGCTGAAGGGTTATGGATTAGCTTTGGCCTGTGCTGACAGCGCAGAGCTTAGCCTTGTAAAGGTCGATACCACCAAAACAATTGAAAAGAGTGTTTGCTCAAACCCCTCCTGAAGTACAATCTCCAACAAACACCCCGTTTCGGAATTTCCAAGGAAACTGCCAAGAAAAAAAATGATGGGAGATCCCACTTTTCGGGAATAGGGTGCCAATGGCAGGCGTTGATATTTCAAAGCACTCTGTTGAGACCCTGAATCCACAATGTGTGATGTATGTTTAGGAAGGAGTCTTCGGGGCTTCTATACATGATGAGAAATGCTAAAATCCAAACCATTTATTTTGTAAATGTACATCATTTAAAATGGTCCAATGAGTTTTTAAAAGTCGCTCACCAATGCTGCTTTCATCTCATCAGTAAAACAGTAATATTGTGAATTATTATTAAAATTTATAATAAATGTGTTTTTGTTTTTTAATATATATTAAAATGTAATTAACTCATGTGATCACAGCTGTTTTTCAGCATCATTACTCCGGTTTCAGTGTCACATCCTTCAAAAATCATTTTTTGATATGCTGATTTGTTGCTCAAGAAACATTTTTATAATCAATGTTGAAAACAGTTGCTGCTTAATATTTTTGTGGAAACTGTGAAACTTTTTCCCATGATCCTTTGATGAATAGAAAGTACAAAAGATCAGTATTTACATTATATTTCTCTCACATGTGATCAGTTGAACTTGTCCTTATACATACAATACAATAACATTAAGTGTTAAGTCTAGGCCTACCAGAAAAAAGAAAACTGAAGGATTATGTGACACTGAAAATGGACTATATGGTAGTAACCTATATTGACTTATTGTTTGTGATATATTTTGTTAAGTTTTATTTTTTTCAGCTAACAACCTTATCCTGAGGTAGGCCTAAATTTAAAGTCTGACTTGTTCACATGGTGTATTAACATATTTCTGCGGTTAAAAGACTGACTGGGCGATTTCACATGATACATTTCAGTAAGTTGCACTCTGTTTCAACATAACTTCAGATATTCATTCATATTTCATGTTGTAGAAAAGATAAGACATCGGTTCACGTGAGCTCTATTCTGCCGTTTGGAAAGCAAAAAATAACATAAAACAAATTCAAGTTTTTGCTTATTATTGCGTTTCTCCACAAAACAGCTCATTGCTGACAGATAACAGAGCACAAACATTTGCCCTTGACAGGTATGATGTAGGGCATATAGTTTTGACTGTTTGCCATCTGCAGTTACAACGATTTGTTGTCACGTTTAGAAACATTTTATGTCAAAATAAGTTTGTAAATGTTTACCCTTGTTGTGTGTCATTTACCAAGTTATTAGGTAGGCTGTGTGTGTGCTATTTCGTTGGGTTGGCTATTTACAAATGATCCTAATGCCAGTCTAAAGTCTCAAGGTCATGGGTTTCAGGAAATGTAGCCTATGTTAGGCTGTTGAAATGTATCCAGTGCAATAGAAGTTATAGGCTATATTATAAGTTACTTCTACATCTTAATAGGAAACTGTTTTACAATTCATAGCAACTTAACATTTTAAGTTAAAGTCAAAACATTTACTTAAAATAACTGAGTAAATGTATTCAGCTCATGCAAATTGTTTTTAGGTTTATATTTTTGCAGTGTTGGTGCACCGGTGTCATCTCGTCCACTGCCGGCGTTGATGTTTAAGGCTCCCTGTCGAATCCCCAACAGATCCCAGCCCTCTGCTAAGCTTAGCAACTGAGCCCTCGCACAAGAGCCAGATTAAAAGGTTTGGTTGGGAACACGACAGGGAAAAAGGTTTGCCTTTTCCATTGTCAGCAGCTTTTATCCCTCGCAAGCTTGTGAAAATTCATTCAAAATTAGCTGTCAAATTTGGCGAAGAGAATCAGATGCAGTTGACAGAAGATTATCGTGTTAAAGAAAGCAAGAAAATGCATCAAGTAATTTATTTTGTTG